AATGGAGCGGTGCCACGAAAGCCGTTAGGGTCCTTTTACATCGACGTAAGGTTAACTTACATAATGCATGAATATTGAGTGAGGCGAGGGAGCTTGGAACGATGAGTCACAGACAGGGAATTCGACGACGCGTGGTCGAATCCGGTAACTGACACTCTTTTCCGTCGGCTTTTCTTCGGAATCGACGCTTGCAGTATGCATTGTGTTCCTCCGGTATGGAAAACTGCATAAACGGATGAAGACGTGTCGCAATGCATCGTCACAGACGATTCGGTGTTATGCGATAGGTGGACGTAGTTGATGCAGAACTTCCTGGTATACGAGTAGAATTTTTCGAATTATCGCGCGGTTTAATGGTCAAAACTTTCAAGACAATCTCCAGCTTCCAACGTAATTCTACGTTACAAAGTAAAATATTGCACCTGCTTATGTTTTCTTAGTTTCATTAAAATTCACAAATTTAATCGTACCGATGCGATTACACACATAGAAGTCACCATTACAAATTGCACTTTTTTTTTATAAACCACTCGTACAATATGAAGCAAGACAGAGGTTAACAATGATGCATATGTATATTCACATACGCACGCGTACATGCATATAGAATTTTTCCAAAAATTGTATCGACATCAATGCCACGAAGTGAAAGTTACCGCACCAGATTCTGTGATATTTTCGTAAAACGCTCTTAAGGTACAAAACAAATCAGATGCCAACGTGTAATGCATACCTGCACTCATATGTGCACACGTACATGCACACAGAATCATTTCAAAAATTTAATGGGGCGGTGATATGAAATTCAAGTTACCACGTCACATTTTATATTCTTTTAATAAACCACTCCGACGATATAAAGTAAACCAGAGACCAACGTGATGCATACGTACATTCACATATGCCACATGCACGCATATAGAATGGTTAAAATACGAATAAACGAAAAAAAAAAAAAAAAAACACGTAGCTCGTCTTACTCTCCGTGAGAAGAAAACGCGGCAACCCCAAAACGGCCTAATTGCCACGCTTTTAGCGAGCAGAAGACCTAATTCATCCCGAGAACGTTAATCCAGGCAACAACTTTGGCTATGAATCAATCAAGCCTGGCAGAAGGCAATTCAAAAACTCGACGTCGAGTATCTTCGAGGCAAAAGGGAACGAAGAATAGTGAAATTGACTCGTTAGACGCGCACGTCGAGGTAAAGCGTACAATACACGCGCGCACACGAGCGCACATCGCGCGGAATTCGTGAGAGTGTCAACCCACGCGAGACGCTCGAGAACGGGAAACGATGACGCTGGCTGATCTCAAAGGCATCCATCGATCGCGAGGCAGTCAACGGTTCGCGCAGTCCGACCGACTTTATGAGTTATAAGTCGGCCATCTTGCGAGAGCCATCACATATTCACGTGCGCGCATATGCGATGCACTGGCAATATGTAAGTGCCACATTCTGTTCTGGTGCACGCGTACAGTCTAATCTAAAAATTACGATCTCACCGACTGCGAGTCTGCGTCTTCGCGAAAAATCTTACCGATTTTTAAGGGATCACCTCGTATCTTCGTCGAGTCTTCGTCATTTCGGGCGAACTCTTTGTTTATTTGTCTAATTACTAGTCTAGCTGGTAGAAAACGTACTTGGTTCGAGATCAAACAAAAATGTGTACGCATGGGTTGAATAGGGAAAGGAACACGTACAATTTAGATTGCAATTACCGATCTTGAACAAAGATATCGTATCGACTCTTCGTCGAGTCTTCGAAATTTCAGGCAGACTCTTTATTTATTTGTTTAACACGTTGAATGCCACATCAGCCATATATGGCTGACGGATCTCTTCGGTAAAAAACTAAAAAAATTCATTCCGAAGGTGAGGTATTAAAGAAATTAAATATGGATAACAGTCGCGAGTTTCGATGAGGCTGCAAAAATAAGTGCCACAACAAATAATGGATTGTGCAGTTTCTGAATAAAAACGGGCTGGAAATAAAATTTCAGTCTCATTGGAATTATCATAAGTATTAATTTGACGGTACTATTCTACTATTCTACTATATACTATGTACTATTCTACTTATTGTCAGTGTTAGTCACGAAAGTCTAGTATTAGTCTGAGAAGCAGCAGGATAATCTCCACGCCTTCTTTGGCCTGTACGGTGACCTAATTTAAATATCATCGAACTACTGTGGGCGGTTTTGGAGAACAGAATAAGAAGCAGGTTTCCTCGTCCATCTTAAAAAAAAAACAACTGGAAGACATTTTGGTAGAACAATGGGATGACGGAGGCTATATTAATGGTAAATGGCGGCCTAACTCTGCATTAATGAACCGATATAATGCGTTTTATAGGTAACATTAACATTATTTTGTCCACCTCCTGTGCATCTGTGTGTGTGTGTGTGTGTATGAAAGAATTAACAAATGATAGAAAACAAAAGGAATAATCGCGGTGGCTGGCCGCGATATTTAAGAGTGTGTTTGGAGGAAGCTAAGGAAGAAATGAATAATTCAGCTTGACAATGATATTTACTACCATTAGAAATGAATAAACAATTCAAACAATTGTTGCGATCATAGAGACGGTGAAATTAAACACAAAAAATGTCAAAAGTTTGCAAATATCGAAGTTCAATAAAAAGACTGAATCTAAATAATAATCGATTATTATTTAGCAAGGGATGACACCGTTTATGCATTTAAATAAATATGCAAGAATAACATATCGGAGAGAACATTTTGTTTCCCCAACGATAAACTAAAATCTCACTGTATATAACAACGTAGTCGCTGTTGAAACGCTTTAATTCAATAACTGGCTTCAAAATGGAGACATCGCTATGGAGAACTTGAATCACGAATTCCTGACGGGCTGACAAACTCGTAGGAGAGAATGCCTACCGATAAACACCCGTGATAAGCCATTCCTGTACCGGATTGATCGATCAGAAGTCTGGCTCGATCTCGTATTAACTTTCTGTGTATTCTGGACTCTGGTCTTTTAACTGGGATCTCCTTTGAAAGCTAAGCAAAAATGATCGATCGTCTGAATAAGAATTGTTCGCTTCTTACCGGATTGATTCATTCCTTATTAACTTTTTGCGCTGGGCTGTGATCGATCGTAATTTTTTCTAAACATATAAAACTTACGGAAGAAACCAAATAATGGAATAATTATTCATGAGACGAGAACGAACTCGTAACATGCGTTTCATCGACAGAGGTTTCGATCGATCAAGGTTCAACCTATCGACAGACCGTTTTTGCATCAAGTCCTCGAAGCATTTGCTCGCCTTACAATTCATCGAGATTCTAAAAAAAAACTCTAGAAATCATCCGTTAAAGAACCTTTTTTGTTTCAGTGACAGAGATCGCTAACTCTTACATATTTCTATTACATTTCCACATCAGCTTTCAAACAATCACTCGGGATACTTTGGTAAAACCACAAACGCGATCACAAGAAGCAATCGTCTCGATAACGGAAACAATGAATCCGTGACCGAATTGATCGAGAAAAGCGATTCCGTTGAATTTCCATTTGCTTTTCGTCGTTTACCGGCTCCCGATAAGACAGCAACGCGGAGCGCGAAGTTGATTTTGCGCCAAGTACAATTACGAATGCCAGCCAGTTACGGTTGTCAATTGTCTCTAGCCCAGCCCCGAATTCAATGCCAACCAATCGTCCCGCGTCCCATCGTTGGCTCGTCTAACTATTTCGTCGAATACCGAGCGCCTTTAATTTCTCTTCGGCGAAGAAGTCGCGCGAGTCCCGCCGCGAATAATAACGATTCGGGGAACTTGACACGGCCGCTTCTCCTGTGTCCCCTGGATCCTCGAAAATCAGGGATCGCCTGTACCGGGCATCGGCGTTTCTTCGTTTCTGCTCCGAGCACCGCCCACGCGCTAATAGCTCCTTAGCCTTTGGCCGAGCTGAGGGCGAACTTCGGGGTACTATTACGCGCGAAGTGATGCCCTGGTTGGCTATTAACGACTGGTAGCCCCGACGGTCCTAATTACTCGCCGCGTGGATCGCGGTTCGGGCGATTAGCGGCGAATCTAGATCAGAATTTGAATCATGTTTTGGGTATTCAGAACTGACACGGTGCACTGACGAATTTAGGTCGGTATCCGGATGAGCGGTTCGGGAAGGGACTGCAGAATCTATGAAGCGTAGATCAGGATTTGAGAACTTGGATCGGCTGGCGCATTCAACGGTGAGATGCTACAGTGGGTAGAAAAAATACTGGCACACTCACTCTTCTATAAACATTTCACGTGTTCAAGTGGTATATTAACACATTCGGGACTGGCAGATATTTTACGTTTTTTACTTCCCGGTTAGCCAAACCAGGAGAGCGATCGCAATAACTAGCCCTATTTTCTTTATACGATTCATCAAGAAAAGTACTGAAATCCCCTGTTTAACCCTTTGGCCTAGAACCACGAGTGAGACTCGTGGTAAGAAATTTAGGATATAAACGACAAGTACGAGTCCGACACGTGGTACTTCGTTCGGGCTTCCTACCTTCCTGCTAACTATCGCCTGAACTACCCCGGGCTAGACAGGGCTTTTGCTTAGCTTTACTATTTTATTTAATATTTGTCATTCATGTGACAATACTGTGAACTCACGCTAGAAGTACAACAAGTGGAATCAGAAATGTATCCAAATCGAAATGCGTCAGTAAGCTGTTGACACCGTTCTTCTGCGCGGCTTGAATTTTATTTATTCTTTTCTTTTTATAACCGTGTGCCTCAAAGAGTTAACTCTAACGTCTTGCGTTCCACGAACGTTTATTCTTCATTTACTTTTTATTTGAAGATCAACGAAACCCAACATAACAACAGCAGGGTACAAACGCTTTGCATTCTATAAATGCTACTCTATAAATGCTACTCTATAAATGCTACTCTATAAATGCTATTCTATAAATGTTTATCGCAAAAGATGGATATAAAGTGTAGAAGAGCAACATCCGTAAGAGAGAGACTCACCGTGATGATGTTGACCAGTCGCCGGATTCAGAAAGGTCGGCGGAAGCTGACTGCTGACCGACTTGGCCAATTCTCCTCCCGCCAGCCCGTAGATCGCCAATAGCTCTTCCATGGTGGACTCCGCGTACTCCCTAATACCCTCGTACGGTTTCCTTTCTTCGCAATCGGCCTCGCCGTCAGCGTCCTGTGCCCGATCATCCTCGAAAGGAGTATCGTCCAGACGCCCGGATTCCGCGTCCAGGATACCGCTGTCGCTCTTCTCCGACGAGTCCGAGTTTGGACTTCTGGCCTGGACAGTCAACGTGAAAAACATTCGCGTAACATTTCGTCCCATGTTGCAAATAGTGAACGATCGCGTCGACTATCGAACAGAAACTGACATTACAAAGTGTGCCTACAGCTCGCTTAACATCATGTTTGTAAACAATCTTAACCGTCGACCAAGGCGAAGAGTTATAATTAAGAAACATGAAAATGTATCGTGTACAATTACGAATGCCAGCCAGTCCGAACATCAATGCGACGCAGAAATAATACATTATCTAGTAGTGAATTTTATATTATCCATTTTATAATATCGAATACATACCTCGGTGCCAGGCGAGTACACTTTCTGAGACCTCAGCTGCTCCAGGATGAACTTATGCCTGAGGGAGTCTCCGCTGTCGTCGTCAGCCTCGGACGAAGGAGGTCTAGTGGTGACGGATAGGTCCATGGGACTGACCTCGTTGTTGTTCAGCCTTTGTTTAGGCCTATCGTCGGCAGGTAACAGCATCGTCTTCCTTTCGTACTCGAGGATCTCGCTAGAGCTCTCCTCTATAGCCTCCAGTTCTTCGTCCTCTTTCTCGGATTCATCCGACACCTCCACCATGCGGCTGCTTATAGGTTTGAAGTTCTTCCGTTTGTTCCGCGGCTTCTGGATACTCGTGATTTGCAGCTGGGCCTGGGTCTCGTATTGGGAGTCGCTGTCCTGGTCCGCGGTTCCCCGTCGGGTCGTCGCGTAGTTGTACACCGAGTCGGAAAGCATCTCCGCTAATCAGAAGGGAACAGACGTCAACACTCAAGGAAGCGGAATTAACCTAACCTGTACTGAACATTTGAGAGGATAGATGATTCTCCTACTAACACTTGACCAGTCGGTTCGGTTAAAATACGTGTTTAAAATTTTATGTGAACAGACGGGCGGGTATTAACCCTTCGGATTCGGATGATTCTCTACTTCTACAGGTTAGTCCCGCTGCTTCTAGAGATCGAGATCGCTTTCACGGAGAATTTGAGAGACTAATCGAGGTATTTTATTGTTATCTTAAATCGACCTATTCCATTTAACTCTTGCGCAACGCGAAGGCCGCTCGCTTCCCGCAAATCAAATTTTAACATTAATTAGAATTCGAGCCAGGCAGGCGTTAATTGAACGTTCTAGTAATCGTCGGAGCACGGTAATTGCGATTCGACAAAATGGAGGGAAGCGCAACGCGATGCAAGGTGACTACCTTCGATCGTTTAGAAAATGGCGAGGGGTTGTTTCGTTGTGAAACGTTAGTAAAGGAAGTGTCTTACTAGGGCCATATGGGCTGGTTACGGCGGACATCTCGATTCTCCTCGACCAGTCTGCTCTTCAATGCATTCTGCAACAAGAAAGAAACAACGAATGTTACGCTGGATCGTACGCTGGTTATATTTGCTGCAATCGGTAATTGAAGCTTATCGCAGAATGTTCTGACTTGCGCGTGATTCCGTCGCAAGAGATTCCACTTCGCGTAACTCTAAATTGCCTGACCCTGTTTTAATTCATCGGGCGAACTGTCCAAACTCGTCATCCTATTTACATTTATAAAGAGTCTACAAATGTTGATGTTCTGTTAGATTCTTGTACAAATTTTCCAAATACTTTCGACAGAAACAACGACTCAGCGGAAGGAAGACGAAGAATGGGATTCGCTGGTATGTACTAGGTTATCCCGTAAGTTCGTGCCGGAAATTGTGTTTATCTATACTAATATTATAAAGCGATAAAGTTTGTTTATTTGTTTGTACGTAAATAAATAGACAATTATACATTGTATTTTAATAAATATAAATAAACAAACGTTTAATACGTACAATACTAGTGATGAACAATGCTTTCATTTTAAATACATCATTTCGATATCTAAAACAGCGTGATGATATAAGAAAAGAAACTTTATCGATGGTAAAACGTTATCGTGACAAAGCACTTATTACAACAAGAAAAGATGCGAATGTAATACGAATGTAAATATATGCATCGCATATTTTGTATTTGCAATTGTAATCGTGTTTGTGTTCGTACATTGGATTTCTTGTTAGTTATAGTGCGTGTATATGAACAACACTCTAAACATTTTCTCCGTAGGTCTCGATTTATCCGGGCTGTCTCGGTCCCAACGAAGCCGGTTAACCGAGGTCCCACTATACAAGTACAATTCATCGAACCTGTACTCGAACCCTGAAGCTTTCGTTCGCGTTCAACTGGTCCATTTCACCCCGTCCCCAACGCCAATATCAAACAGCAACTCCTGCCTATCCAAACTTGATTTGCATCGTTCGAGAAAAATCGCGATTCCTCGTACAGCTGACGCGAGCACCGGAACGAGAAAAGAATATTCCCGGTTATCTATTTCTGTGTCGGTGCAAAAGTAGGTTACAGCAAGTTCAGCGAAACCCCCAGATGGGCCCGTCACGCTGCCGAACGAACCGTCTACGTTTGCACCGCTGGAACGAGACGCGAGAACAAGGCGAAAACAAAGGCACGTCGCCGTAACAAAAGCTACGCTGATATACGAGCGCTGCTCGGTCAGCCGAGTAGACGGTCCCGCGATAAGGTGAAACGAGGGACAATTCGTTTCTCAGTTAGCGAAACGCCTTGTTTCGCGGCGCGGCGCGGCGTCCCGGCGCTTCTCGGGACGCTGGAGGAAGCCAGCCATCGGCAGCGAAAAGGAGTCTCTCTGCGATTGTGAAATTAATGAGTACCCGGGGGTCGGTCATAGAACGGTAGTTTTTCAAAAAGATAGCGTGTTGACGTTCCACGCTACGATCTCTCGGCTGCACATCGCATCGTTGGAGTGCCTTTATATAAAGATAATTGAAATTATAATTTCGTTCCCTTTGGAAAGATTAGTCATTTCTTTGATTTTAATATTTTGCATAAAAGAAGGAGCACAAAGGTAAATGAAGCTACTCCAAGTGTAAGATAATTAAGGAATGTGAAGAGCAAAAATAAAGTAAAATATTTTTTAATTTAACATGAAACTATTTCGAAACGAGACTTAATTTCAGCTAACTAACCTACTACTCCAAGTGTGAGATAATTAAGGAACGTGAAGAGCAGAAATAAAGTAAAATATTTTTTAATTTAACATGAAACTATTTCGAAACGAGACTTAATTTCAACTTCTCTAGAAAACTGGAGGATAGTCACCGGCATCAAATTTAAGCAACAGAAAGATGACAGTTGTATAATGATACAAATGCGTTGAATTTATATCTAACACGTGCCTCGTGAGTTCTGCATTTAAACATATCACACTAGATTCAATCTCGTAAAACATTTCGCCATAAATAATACATTCGATTTCATTCCGAGATTCAGAGGTGTAAGATCTTTTTTTCCGATACACTTACTTTCGCAGGCACTGTAATTTCTAATTAAGCTAAACTAACTGCGCATGTTTAATGTAACACTACCGCTTGTACAGACGTCAAAATAAGTATGATAAAATATGAAGAAATTTAATTTTTTTTTTAATTGCCAGCGCTACCCTCCTGCCCCTGGATATAACATCTTTAATTAAAATACTGTCCGTTGCCAATTATTACCTTACACCATTGATTGGGTACATTATATTAATCCCATCACGAAAAAATGACATTGGTTTTGAATGGATAACATTGTCAAAGAACTTTTGTAGATTGACGACAGTTCTAAAATGCGATTATATCTTCTCTAAAGCAGGAGAAAGTAATTGCTTTCGTAATTTTTACGACTTTTGTAATACATTTTCGTAGTTTAAATGTGAAACGAATGAAAGGTCGAAGATCCATCAGCTTTTAAAGATATCGCTCGATTGCAACAAACGCAATTCTGGAAACACCAATACCAACACTTTATAACTATAAAACGGCGTCGTAATATTTAAATTCTACATACTGAAATAAACTTAAACACCGCGAAAATCGCGGACTGAACTTTGTTCTACATCTAATACGAGTACCAAGTGCGAAGAATCGGCGACGTTGATCGTCGACGTTCGTTAACGACGAAGGGTAAAGTTTCCAATTCGAAACGCTGTAAAGATTGTGCCAGTTTGTCCGGCGATGTGTTAACAGCTTCGGACAAACCGGAGGAATCTAGTTAGCCCTGGGAGCAGCGCTTCTTTCCTTCCTCGGTTCATCACCAGTCATTTATTTCTGCCTGCTGATTGCTCCAGTCATCGCGTCCGACCCGTCAGCTCCCCCTATCGATTTGGATGACTCCGTCCGTGGAATCCGAAACACGCTGCCTAATTCGGCCTCAAAATCGTTAGTTCCGTTTTTGTCCGGTTCATTATCGGTTATTTATTTCCGCACTAAAACTGGCCCGCTAAGGGTCCTCGACGAATATGGCGACGCACCGGTTCAGTCGCGGAACAAGAAATTATTTTCCCCCAACGTCGCTCCGAAATTCCATCCCGTGGTTGCGCGGTGGGAACGTCTTCCGTTCTAAGTCCGAGAGATGACAGTTACCTTACGATTAGATACACTACCGTTCAGAAATATCCGAACGCTTGCTTCTGCTCTATAAAACGTAGTTCAACTTTGTACGAAAAGTATTTAGAACGTAATTATATCAATCGTAATTATTATTGTTGTCTCTGCCGAGGTATCGTGGCATAATAGAATTAATTTTCATGTATAAAATTATATAATTGATACGCAGAAATACAAAGTCTAACGGAACGGTCTTAATGTTTAAAAGAATCTCACGACCTAGGATATACCAACGTGGAATTATTATTAGACCCACTTTACTTTTCTACAGAAACAGGCCTCATAAAATTCCCACCGTTATGTTTTTACTTTTTTTTTTTTTTTTGTATCTTCGTTTAAAGAAAAGAAAACACACGTTTCACCTACAGCTTCGAGTTACTCGATCCATCGAGGACACCGGCCTGGCGCGACGAAGCATCACTGTCCGTTCAAACCACGAAAGATAAATGTCACGTTTTACCGCCATTTGTAGAATACTCATCACTCGCAGATTGTCGGTATGGGTCGCGCGAAACCGAAAGATTGCAACGAATATCGAAGGGTCGAAAAGGTCCATGGGCTAACGTCAATGCTGGCGGTTTGGGATCATCGATTAGGGCGAAACTAGGGTGGTCGGGGAGCCGGTGCACGCGAGTTGGCAGCGTTGACAAGTCGACAGGACTCGGCCCAAGTACCCGGCGAATTTCCCTAGTGGGCACGGCGGAAGTTGAACGCGATTGGAGCGCGCGCGCTAGGCGGGCCACGTGACTCGTTCGAAGCGAGGACACAAGAAACCTCCTCGACGGGGATGTACGCGAGTGGACGATATGTCCGAGTTGGGACCGGGCTATTTTTTTGCCGACTGTACACAGAAGGGATAATTAACATCTGTTACAGTACGTACAGCGAGCGGGCCGCCCCGTTTCACCCCCACCACCGGCCACGGGGCGGACCTTGAATACATTATCACCCTGTTTGCACATGAACGTACGTACACCAGAGACCGTCGAATCGGAGTGCAGCGCGATCGACCCTGAACAATGGGACCGGACCGTCTTTGTCGCGCTCCGAGAGGAAGAGGAATCGGCAGGATATTTCCTTTTGGCGAAACGGAGTTCGTCCTTTGGAAATCTTTGACACGCTTCGTCTGCAACCACTTTGTGGATGAACGCCATTATCACTAAGGCTGCCAACGGTAAAGACGGACCTGTTATATGTGTACACTACGATATCTTTGAAATTAAGGGGAGGGGGTTGTAAACAAATTGACGAATAAAAGTAATTATCTATTTCGATAGATGTCACTGAAAATTGCCGCAAAAGCATTGTTAACGTTTGTATTATTTTTTTTTGTTTAAAGTTCTAAATATATTAATCAAAATGACTGATTTGTTATTTTTAGTGCTAAGTAATAGAACATTCTGTGATGTATGTATCAAATGGTCTGCACTGCTTTCGTGGGTTGAATTGTGGATATTACTAATGTACGTAATTATTATGCACGCGTGGAGCAATAATCATGCAAAAATATGCGAAATGTATGGTTTAGTAGAAAATTCTATGGTTCAAATTTAATGTGGAATGCAGATGCTTCTGGGTAAATCTGAAGAATAAATAATATGCGAGCAACGAATTAAATAATATTATCTATCGAAGATCAGTAGTTCCAGTGAACCTGTGCGGAATAACAAAAATTGAATACGGCATTGCATTAAAACCAGATGTCTCTTAGCAACATCGAAGAATAAATCACGTATTAAGGACAAAGTAAATAAATAGTGTATGGAAGTAACCTAACCTCGTGTTATTAAAACATAACCTCTCTTAATACCGTCAGTGTATGTCAATAGATACTTAACCTCTCCAAGGATAGTGACAC